ATGTGTATAGATGTGTATAGATAATGGATGGTTCAGGGTTGTGTTTGGGTTCAGATTAGAAGGAGGTCAGGGCGAAGGTTGGCGCTGTGGTGGTAGCACGGAATAATGTTTATGTACAGCTCAGAAGATTAATGTCACGTGTCTTCAGTAAATATGAAGCTGGGGCTCATTAAATAAATTGGCATAAACACCAGAGCTGCTGCTCCGACTTGACCCTGAAGTGATAAAATCCACCTACAGGTACCTGTACTGCTCACTAATTATGAATTTTCCTACATTGACTTCGAGACATGGTGCCACAAAACCCCATAAAAAATCACAGCAAACTATTTTTTTTTTTTTTACAGTAAAGTCTTCATAAATGTGTCAGCAGTGGTGGGAAGCTACTAATTGCAATCACAACGTACTGTACTTGTAATTTACTTGAGTACTTTTTTTTTGAAGATTATTTTTCTGGTGTTTTTGCCTTTATTAGTCAGGACAGTGAGAGAGTGAGACAGGAAAGGGGGGAGAGACCTCGCAGCAAACTGTCGTGAGCGGGAGTTGAACTCACGAACGCCGCGCCAGAGAACTATAGCCCCTGTTCATGGGTCGCCAGCTCAACCAGGTGAGCTATAGGGGCGCCCAACTTCAGTACTTTTCATTTTGTACATTTTGTGCCACTGCGAGTGAAAAGTTGTAGTTTCTGCTCCACTAAACCGCCGGCAGCTTTAGCCTTTTTTTTTTTTTTTTGCCATAACTTGTTTTGGTATTTCACACGATGGGTCGTGTAACAAGCTGATAAATCACAACATATTGCTAAAGATTACGTCAGTTTTCCAGCTACGGTGTGTAGTCAGGTCGCATTTCAGGTGTTTATGAGTTCTTAACGGCTCCATCGCATAGTTCCTCTCATTTTCTCACATGGTTTCAATAAAGATTCAATACCTCAGTAAAAATGAAAGACCTAAAAAACAGTCCAAATTGCTGTCCTTGAACATAAAATTGTACATAAAGCAGTTTAAATTGAGTTCACCTGCAGCAGCTACAACGCTAATGCGCTGCTGATGCATCAGTTTTGGTACTGAGGTGAAGAATCTGACCACTTCACGTGTGTGTGTTTGCAATTACAGTCCAGGATAGGTAACTGGACTGTGGAGGTTGGAGGAAACGCCTTGTCGTGGCCTCGAGGCTCAGCTCTGCAGGTTCAGGCCACACTGGACCACGAAGAGAAGATCTGGCTGAACGGAACAGTAGAGGGACAATGTGTTCGGACCGCAGCGGGCTACATGAACGGTAAAAACCGAAGAAACCTTACAATACTTGGAATACGGCTTAAAATATCGAACTCACTGATTAAGCTTGTGTGTTCACGCAGGTTCGGACCACCGTGAGGATCTAACCGTCGCAGCCTGCGTTGGAGCTGATCGCACTTTAAAGCTCGATGTGCACAAAAGAGATGGAGGCGGCAGGTCTGAAACTCTGGGCAGCGTTTCCGTGGGAGCGGCCAATCAGAGGCTGATGCTGAGAGCGGGCGGCTGTTTGGGGAGTTTAGCTGCAGCAGAGGTATCACCCGTAGCATCACAGTCTCACCTTCAGCTTCAGCACACCTTTTTAAGTCTGTTTCTGTTCATTTCACAGGAGCGAGTTCAGTATTTGAGCTCTCGGTTGCAGAGCAAACTCCTGGAGAGAATCAGGACGCTGCAGCATCTCCTCGTGGAATTTAGACGGCAGGTGACTGCAGCACACACACTAGGACGCTCGATGCTTAACCCTGTCCAGGACTTTCATGTTGCCATACGTAGAAGGTCCATTGGACCCCAAAAAAAGAATATGTGCAAAATATTTGTAGGTATTCATTATAGACTTTTATACTCAATTTTCTGATAAGTTGGTGTATTTTTAGTTCCAAATGCATGACAAACATCCATCCATCATCTCTACACCTTAATCCTCACTAGGGTCATGGGGGGCTGGAGTCTATCCCAGCTGACTCAGGGTGAAGGCAGGTTCACCTGGACAGGTAACAGTCTATCACAGGGCTACACTTAGAGACAGACAACCAAGCACACTCACATTCACACCTACGGACAATTTACAATCACCAATTAACCTCAGCATGTTTCTGGACTGTGAGAGGAAGCCGGAGAACCCGGAGAGAACCCACGCTGCACGGGGAGAACATGGAGACTCCACGCAGAAAGATCCCGAGTGTCCTCACCGGGACGCCAAGCGACGACCTTCTAGCTGCGAGGCGACGGTGCTAAGCACCGAGCCACCGTGCAGCATGACAAATGTCCCCTTTATTTATTATTTTTTTAAAATATTTTTGGGGGGGGCTTTTTGCCTTTATTTTAGAGCAGTAGAGATGGACAGGAAAGGGGGGAGAAGAACGGGGAGAGACCTGCATCAAAGGGTCGTGAGCGGGAGTCGAACCCACGACTGCTGCGTCGGTTAACTATAGCTGTTCATGTTTCGCCCTCTCAACACCTGTCAACTAAACCAAATGGCCAACAGACCCCAAAAGTCCTGAAAAGGGTTAATCTGTACTAAAAGGTTCTATCTTGGGGTTAAAATGTAGTTTTTAATGCTGTGATCACCTGTGATTCTCCTCCAGTCCAGAGACAGCCAGCTGCTCCAGGAGCTGAGCGCTGTGCCTCTTCATGCGTCGCAGCGACTCGAGGCTCTGCTGGGACACAGAGACAGAAGTCTGCTGGCTCTCTGGCGGAGCAGCTCCATGCGTCACGTCCTGACCGACAGCCTGCCTCGTGTCCTGACTCTGCTGCAGCACGCCTCGCTGCTGGGACAGCAGGAGCTGAGGAGTGAGTGCCGACAGATGACAGTGACCAGCTCGAAGGCTGATCTCATTTTGTGTTTTAAAAAAAACAAAAACAACACTAAAGGAGCAACTTTTAATGCGTCCCCATTTCCCATCTCACAGTGCCAGCGTGGTTTAGTGTTGTTGTGCGGATGCAGTAAATTCTGTTGCTGTAAATAAGGATATGTTCTTCAGTTTTTGAGCGAGGGAAGTAGAGCGAGTCCCTGTCTTCTTTCATTTCACTGGCGGAAATCTAATATCTGCAAGAGACAAAAATCATAAACGTATTATCTGAAACTAAACAAGTATTTCTCCTGTCTTGTTTTATTGCTTATATATTTTTGTACAATTATATTTTTTCCGACATGACGCAGAGGTTTCATTTTGGTCAGGATGTCCTGACCTCCGTGTGCCTCACTATTATCTGTCCCATAACTCAAGAAGTAAAACAAATTCCTGGAAGTTTCTGGTGAAAGTCGATCCCTGACCTCGCTGTGCACTCTGCTCTCAGGGCCTCTGGCCACGCTGGCAGGTGTGTACCAGGACGTGAAGGGCCAGAGGCTGGAGGCCATGTGGAGGGAGGCCGTGCTGCTGTGGACCGACCGGCTGCTGGAGGTTCTGCCTGCTCTGCTGGAGAACCCTCACCTGAGGCCGCTGTCTCAGGCCGGAGTCGGCACACTGAGCGTCGCCCTGGAGCTGGTGAGGAAACTGAACTCTCGGGCCTTTTGTGGTTTTGGTTATGTTTTGTGCTGCTCTTCTCCTGGAGTTGAGGATACTGTGGAAACACGTGTCGCTGATTGTTAGCTGGCATGTTTCCAACTCATGTTGAATCAAACATGTAGATTATGATCTACACATAGAGGAAATAAACGTAAGATTCAGTAAATGGAGAGGCTAAATATGGGTGGAATTACCCTGAGCAGCGAGTTCATGTCTCCTACTGTCTGCCCCCACATTTCCTGTTTCTCTCCACAGTTACAATCAACTAGCAGCAATAAAATGTCCAAAAACTAATTAAAAAACAAAACAAAACAAAAAAAGCATAAATAATATAGTCATATGGCCAAATCTATGATCTGACTCAAAGCCGTCCTACTTATAAGCATTAAACCCATGGAAAGGTTTTCATTTTGTGTATTATTTGTGTTTCTGTATCCATCAGGCAGGCCAGCATACCTACCAGTGGATCGAGACCAGGCTGGCCACGGCTCTGTCTGGAGTCCGGAAGCGTCTCGCCTCTGTCTACAAATTCTCCCCGGGGTACTGCAAACATCTGAGACCTGCATGATGAAAAGCCGTTCGGCCCAGAGCAGGGATATATTCTTCATTATCTAATCTTACATTCAGCCCCCAGAAAAAAACAGCCAAAAAAACAAACCTGGAACCTGTTGAGAGGATGTTTTCAGCAGCATTTCAGCGACTTTATTTAGGTTCATGCTAAACACACATTACGACACCGTGTGAGATTTGATTCAGAGTGACGTACGTTTGTGTTTCGACTCCGCCCTGGAACGATTCGAGCACAGCAGAGCCTGATAAACACAACCGAGCGTGAGTGATGACAACAAGGAGCAGGCTTTGTTTTCTAACGGAGGCAGAGATGATTCGTTGGTCCACAGAGGCCGCTGAAGCGTCGTTAATTTGGTGGTGTGAAACAAAGTTATGCAAGAATGTACAGAAAAAGGGATTTGTGTAGCGCCGAGTCATCTCCGCCTGAACCACCACAAAGCTCCGTTCAACGAAAAGCTCTAAAATTATATGTCATTTAGATGTTCTGGTGCAAAGATTGACAAGTTTTAAACGCCTTTAAATGTCAAGACAGAGAAGAAACAAAGCGTTATTTAACATTTACTTCAGCCTCAAGCTTTGACTGTTAAATTCCCAAATGTTGAAACAGAGCAAAACACAAGACTGAAAACTATTCTCGTAAAGTATTTTAGTCGATATTGTGTTGTTTTGTTTTTCTTAGGGAGTGTTCAGTGGTTGTGTCGGTGCCGCTGCCACCGCTTCCCTGGTTGAGGATGGTCGAGGCCGGGCTGATGGAGGTCCTTCTGGAGGAGTGGCTCCTGAGGCCTCTGCTGACCCTCGCCTCCATCAGACCCACGGCTGAACTTTACCGTCTCAAGAGGAAAATCATGGACAGCCCCTTCACACGTAAGACGAGACTTCGAGGAGGGAGTGGGGTTTTGCAGGTTTATTAGATTCTCAGTCGTCCAGGTCATAGTTATTCTGGTAGATTAATCGTAGCAGCTGGACTCGCTTGAGTTCCTTGAAGACGTTCCACCTTCATCCAAGAGGCTTCATCAGCTCTAACTGACTAGTTGGGAGTTCCAGACACTGATATCCTTAAGGAATCATCAACACCTGAGTTTAGGTGTCAACTGGGGGTTTGTTGCTCCTCGGTAGGACTCCCCCTGCCATAATGGGGTTCATGGCTAGGTGGCTAACTCCCAACTAGTCAGTCAGAACTGATGAAGCCTCTTGGATGAGAGGTGGAACGTCTTCAACGACCAAAAAAGAAAAAGAAGTCAAGGTGGATTCTACTGAAGTAATGACCATAATCTGGATGACTGAGAATCTACATGGGCGTGTCTCCTACTGAAGGTTGTCAAATCCATCCATCCATCCATCCATCCATCCATCCATCGTTCCGTCCATCAATTTATCACAGGGCTACACTTAGAGACAGACAACCAAGCACACTCACATTCACACCTTCGGACAATTTACAATCACCAATTAACCTCAGCATGTTTCTGGACTGTGGAACCCGGAGAGAACCCACGCTGCACGGGGAGAACATGGAGACTCCACACAGAAAGATCGCGGGTGTCCTCACCGGGATGCCAACCGGGAATCTGTGCAGCGACGGTGCTAACCACTGAGCACAAAACATCGAACAAAATCCTACATGTAACAAAGATAACCTGAGTAAACGCAGAATACAAGACAGCTGCATGTGTTGCCGTAAAAAAGTTGCTTAATGCCTAAATCACCAATGTGTAAAATGACTTGTGCAACTTGTGCCGCCTTTAGCAGCAACACCTGCAGCCAAACAGATTGCTGGAGACCAGCTTCTAATATCGTTGTAGTGGCTTATTTTTCTTTGCTGCCACATTGGAAGGTTTGTGAGCATAAAATGCTCTTTTAAGCATCTCAAGAGGATCTGGTGCAGATTTTGTCTAGGCTGCTCCAAAGCTTTAATTTTATTCCATTTGAGCCGTTCAGAGGTCTTATCCTGGTATCATTGTCTTGCTGCACAAACAAGACAACGGATTCTGACCAGAGATTTTACCGTCAACTGCAGCAAGTCGCCCTGGAGCAGCAGAGCATCCCATTGTGGAATTCTGCGTTTGGTTTGTAACGGGGCCTCTGTCTTCCAAACAGTTTAGCTTGCGCTCTACAGCAAAACTTCCAAAAATCAGATGAGCCTTTTAACGTTCTCGTGGGCCAGAAGCTGTTTTCACTTTGTCACTCTCTTGTGGACTCATGAACACTGAGTCATGTTGAGAGGTCTGCAGTTTCTTCAATGTTTTCGTTGGACTTTTTGCGACTTCCTGGTTGAGTTGAACTCTTGGAGGCATTCAGGCAAACTTTACTGTCCACTGAAAAAACTCCCCAGACCCTACGTATTTTCTTTTGATTTTGCCGCAGCGTGCTACTGGTGACATCTTTTACCCTGTTACGATCCAGCCTTCAGGGTCAGCCTGATGGATCAAGAAACCAGATGGAAATGGTTCAGGCGAAGCGATTTATTGCTCAGTAACGTAAATGAACATAACAGAACCATGACAATACAAAAGAAGACGATGAATGCTGCTACAAATCACAAGAACCAAACAGAGGCTAACAGAGTATCGAAGCTAGCAAACAAACTAAACTAAACTCCGTAGCCAAAACTTTAAATCTGATAGTAACATCCACACAACAAAAGAAACTAAAACAAACTAGCACCTCAAGACACACAATACGAAAACACAAGACACGAGTAACTTCTCCACCAAGTTGCACAGCTGCTATAAGGAGTCATAGTCTCCACTGAGACTCTCATGAAACTCCCACACCGAGTTAGCAGCTGCCAACAGAAGCTACCACAAACACAAAAGACACAAACCGAGAGGCACCAGGATGGACTGGTCACACGAAATCCCAGCCAAGGTTGCTGGTTGCTTTTATAGCCAGGTGTGGTGATTGCTGGGGTGGAGGAGGAGTGGTGGTGGTCCAATCAGATGTAACTGGAGGCGGGAAGAACAAGGCTGAGAGTAGGTTAGGAGCTCCAGGCCAATCACTGCTGATGTCTGACAGGTGTGGCTCTGGAGCACCGTCTTCAACTGGGCCTTCACAGGACGTCTTCCCACACAATTGGCACAAGTCCAACACGGATGACGGCACAAACACCAGGGGCCGTAACATACAAGACAAATAATTATCGTTTAAAACTTGCACTTTCTTTTCCACTCAGGTAGCCTGAAGCTGTGACATAGTTCTGCAGAGGAGTTGAATACTGTGCATTGCAATAATTACAGGGATGAGCTTTTGTTATTTCAGCTGGAGCTCAGTTAGCTGTGTTTGAGTTTACAAGAAGTTTGTAAGAACACCTCCGTTTCATTTATTATTACAACCATTGTTCTCCATATGCAGCGAAAGAACCCTTTGGAATTAGAGGGCAAACAATTATCCGCTCGGATCAGACATTCAGTATTTTTTAGATTATCTGCGTTTATTATTTTTTGCAACAGATTCCAGAGAGAATAAACGTATTAAAAATGTTCAACTGAGGCTCTTGTACCTCTCCGTCTGTGGTCAGCACTCTGTGGACGACGTAGTCGGGTGTGTGAAGCCCTGAGCTGATGAAACTAACAACTGGAGTCATGAGTTGATGAACCTGCAGTGAGATAAGTGACAAAAGACCGGAGGTGTTGGTCGGAACGGCTTAGACTCACATTTCTCTGTTTACGAGAAGCATCTGCTTTTGTAAAACAGGCCTCTCAACAAAAACACAGATCTGTGAAAATCTGTTGAAGCCTGGAAGCCGTGGGCGCTCCACTGATAAGATGGTGACCCACGTACGGGGGCTATAGTTGTTTCCTTGTCCTCTCCGTCTCTCTTTGCTATCTTGTCCATTAAAGGTGAAAAGCCCAGAAAAAATCAAACAAACCTGGAAGCCATTATTCATCTCATCAGTTCGCAGTCAACCAAAAGGCCTGTTGACAGCACAAAGCACGACTAAGATGTTTAATCGATTGCTGAAACTGTAGCTGACTTGTTTGTGTAGAAACCACACTTATGGTGTACCAACATGAAAATGTCAACTCAGTGATGACAGAACTACATGGCGTGGAGCTGTTTTAAGTCCTTGACAGCTAATTTTCACTGTGGTTAAGTGAATTCTCAGCTCATGAAGGCATCTTACTGGATTGTGTCTGTCCCGCTGAACCTCACTTTGACTTCCTACAGATTGGTAAAGGGGTTGATTACGCTGCATAGTCGGAAACATCATTCAATTCCATTTATTTATTCGAGGTGTGTCAGAAAAGTTCCAGGACTGGTGTCACAAAAGGTATATTTCAAATCCAAACTATGAGTTTTGCCCTTCCAAGTAATCCCCCTGGAGTCTAACCCACTTCCCCAGCCTTCGTCGTCGTCACAGCCATCTTGATGTCGTCCACGTCCTCTAAACGGGTCCCCTTGATGACCCCCTTGAGTTTGGAGAAGAGGAACCAACCCCACAGAGCCAGGTGGGGTGAGTAGGGAGGTTGCTCCAGCAGGGAGATGTTCTTCTCAGCCAGGACCTGTGGGATGCTCAGGGCGTTGTGAGCAGGTTGTCATGGTGAAGCAGCCACCACTGGTCCTGACACAACTCTGAACGAAGCAAACGCTGCAGGATCTCTTTGCAGACGTACTGGTTGATCGTCTGAAGGGAAAAATTCTTAGTGTGTAGTTTGGGTTTGAAATCTTTTGTAACACCAGTCCTGGAACTTTTCTGACACACCTCGTATATCATCTGTCACAGAGGGAAGGAACGCCCTGCTCCGACTCCGACAGAACCAGGTTCAGGGAAGGCGGCCATCTGCCTCGACCAGTTGGGGGATAGCAGGATAGCAGATGGAGAACAGACAAACAATACAGCAGAACAATTACCTTTTTGGAGGTCTGCTCCTGTAGCTCCAGATCCAGAGACAAACTACACGAGACACGCCAACGTTTTTTCAATGATGCACCTACATTTTTCTAAAGTTTGTCTCCCTCTCTCTCTCTAAAAGACCAAGCTTTGCTGGTGGCAGATCAGTTTGTAGTGACCTTTGACGGCCACCTGTTCGAGCTGCCGGCTTCGTGTCCTCTGCTGCTCGCCCAAGATGTCAACGCCGAGCCCTCGTTCACGCTGCTGCTCCGTCCAGACCCGCAGGCCTTCCTCCTCATACGAATGAACAACAGCACCATTAACATTCAGCGCAACGGACAGGTTTGTGTTTCCTCAGTCAGCAGCAGGGAGAGTGTTGTGACCTCAGTTAGGTCGATAACGCACAGGACTGACGGAGAAAACGTCCGTGTCGTAGGTGAAGGCCGACTGCAACACCGCCGTGTCCCACGCGTTTCACAGTGACGACGGAGTGGACGTCAGGAGAAGGTCAAACGTTGTGCAGGTGTCCAATCAGAACGGAGGGTCGGTGTCATGTGACCTGACGCTTGAAGTGTGCAGCTTCACCCTGGACGGATGGCTGCATGGTAGGAAAGATTCAACAACAGTAATATCAGTAATACTTAATGATGGCAGCAACAGTCATAATATTAATAATTATCTTCTGCAATTTTCTTGACAAATTTGCAAAGTGTGTCATCACATTAAAAGAGTTGATCTGTCAGAGAAGAACAACATCAGTGCTTATTTTTACTTATATTCTTCTCTTGTTCCTGTTTTTTTTTTGTTTATTGTACTTGTTATTTATTAGACTTTTTCTTTAAAAACCGGGACCTGAGTACTTATTTCGTGCCACGGCATGTGAATGTGAGCTGGCATGACAAATAAAGTTCCTTGAATCCTTGAATAAAAGTGTAAAAGAGGAATAAACATAACCACACATAGGTTAATAAAACATGCAAAAACCTAATACGAAGTAAAATAAATAGTTTAATAAAATGTCAAAGTACAAACAACAAGCAAAATATGAAAGAGCAGTTATAGGGATTTTCTTTTTTCACTTTTATTTGTTCATTTATTTCTGTTTGTGTTTAATATATATCTGTTTATTTTTGAATATAAATTGCTCTATTTTCCCTGCAATTTTCTTTTTGAAAATTGAGGTTTATTTCTTTATTTCTATAAAATTAGATCTCTTTATTCCACCTTACTCTTTTCCCTACTGTCGTGCTTTACCTTCTCTGTTGCATTAAAGCTCCAGCTGTCAGTCACCTCACTGTAGGCGGGTCTTCCTGCCCAGACTGAGAGGTCAAATCCTGCATGTATTGCTTTGGCGAAAACATTTTGCAAAGCCAACTATTTACATTACACAAAACATTAATACAGTTAAAATAAAACATGATTTTTAAAAATTTTAGCCAAACTCATCTCACCACGTAAGTGATTCCAGAGTTTGCGGGTGAAGATTGCAGAAGCACGACGGCCCTCAGTCACAATTTGAGTTGTAGGAATTACCAGAAGGCGGCTAGCAGCTGATCTATGACGCCTCCTGGTTTCATATGTGGTTAGGAGAGCCATGATATAGTTACTATAGTTATAATATTTTGCTAACATTCATCAACACTTTCTTCACGTTCTTCTTCTCGTGTACAGGTGCGTCCACTGGTCTGTTTGGGACCAACGACAATGATGCAGGAAATGATTTCCCTTCACGTGATGGATCTCAAGCTGAGAACTTGGAGGATTTTATCAACAACTGGCAGGTAGGTTTGCCTTTGTGAAGCGCTATGAGATGACTTGTTGTTGTAAATATGCGCTATACAAATAAAATTGAATTGAATTGAATTGAATTGAATAGGATGAGATGGGTAGTGTTTGCATATTGACGACAAGGCTGTCGTACATTTACTACAAGAGGATTTTGAAAGAGAACATTTGGAAAAGGGCTGCAGGTGTCTCGGTGTTTTGCACCGTCGCCTCGCAGCTAGAAGGTCGCCAGTTCGCGTCCCGGTGAGGACACCCGGGATCTTTCTGCGTGGAGTCTCCATGTTCTCCCTGTGCAGCGTGGGTTCTCTCCGGGTTCTCCGGCTTCCTCCCACAGTCCAGAAACATGCTGAGGTTAATTGGTGATTCTAAATTGTCTGTAGGTGTGAATGTGAGTGTGCTTGGTTGTCTGTCTCTAAGTGTAGCCCTGTGATAGACTGGTTACCTGTCCAGGTGAACCTGCCTTCACCCTGAGTCAGTTGGGATAGACTCCAGCCCCCCGCAACGCTAGTGAGGATTAAGCAGTGTATAGGTGATGGATGGATGGACATTTGGAAAACAAAAAAACAAAAAAATGTTCCTACATATGAGTGTAGGCAGGTGGAGAAAGTCTGTGATAATACCTGAATAGTGATAGTTCCTGGTGCTCGGCTACCATCATGTGTGTGTTACTAACATATCAATTTTTTGTTTGTTAAATGTCACAGTAAATGCTTAAGGAAAAACCTTCTAAAATCTCGTGCCAGTGAATGTTTTCGCATCTGTGCTGCTGCGTTATTGAGCTGAAGGAATCCAGTCGTCACCTGCGGTTTGACTCTTTGTGTCTTCAGATGAAACCAGCGTGCATTAAACCTCCAGCTGCAGCAGAGTCCTTCTCCAAAGCTTCCAGGAGCCCAGCGAGCTGCGACTCTCTGTTCTCTTCTCCCGACTCTCCGCTGAGTTCCTGTTTCAGGGTGGTGAGTAGTAGAAAACAGCTGGCACGCATTTTCTTTCCAAGAACTGTCCTCCGTCGTGCAGTGCTGACTTTCATTACTGCCTAATGAGACGTGTGGACGCATAGCGCTGTGATAACATATACACAGTACAAACCAGCACAGTGTTGATGTCACATAACCTTTGCAGAGGTTTCATGTCTTCAGCTGGGACAAGCTCCCACATGGTAAAAATGAGGTGCACTTATTCACTTCAGTTGCAATCAGACGAGAGGAAGAAAAGCAAACAATAAAAGCAGGCAGTTACGTTTTCAGCCAGAAAGAAGTGTTTATAAAAACAATCAATGTGCGACGAAAGGAAGACGAATGACAACCCTGTTATGTGAGCTTAATGGACGGTAAGAAGTTGCACATGGAGAAAATTGAAAACAGGGGAGCTGAGCGGTTGGGTTCGATACATGATGCTGTTCTTGACTGATTCTGCATTTCAGGTTTACAATAGCGTGTCTGTGTCTCCAGGTGGATCCTGTTCGGTTCCTGTCGGTGTGCAAGCTCAGCTCCTACAGGGCACCCTGCAGACTAGCATCTGCTTTTGTTCATCTCTGTCAACAGAACTACATACCGCTGGAGCTCCCTGTCCAGTGCAGTAAGTCGGACCGGCGTGCTCGTGATTGGACTCCTGTGTCCGTGTGCTGTCATGCATGTGGCCACGCTTTACATTTATGACTGATTTTTTTTTTATGTTACTCCTGTTACTGAATCTTTTCTTCTCTTTTATTTTAGTCAAAGCGTGACGGATGGACGAGCGGGTGAAGAGCGATACATGACCTCTGTTAGCTGCTAAAATGGAAAAATGCGAGCTCGTATACCACTGGTTGTGCCACATTACTTCTATACTTATGTTTTGTACTCCGTTGTATAGTCGTACCTCGGGCAATGCGCACTCCTGTCCTGTTTAGAGGCGCAGATATCACGCCAATAATGTGAATGTGAACGTACTAACTCTAGCGTGTAATTTAATAATATTCACACAGATTCTTTTTTTGTATTTTCTGTGGTCTGTAGTACAAACACTGAAGATACTAGAGACTGACTTTGGTGCAGCCGCAGTTACTAATCCTCACAAGCAACACCTGGGTCATAAAGAGATCAATATTTTTATACAGTTTGACAAAGTGCATTTATTACATCCTTGTATACGATGCGTGTTTGTGGCCTGTCTTCATTGCTCGGCTGTTTGTTCACTGGAGGATGGGTATGTAGTTGTGTATCTTGGACTTCTGCCTCTGAGTGACGCACTCGGCGATCCAGACGATGTTGCGACTCTCCTGCTCCTTCAGTTTGATGTAGGAGTAAAACACGCCGAAGTGGAACTGCTGTAGGAAGGCCAGGATGTTCAGCTTCACCTGAGGGAAAGCAGCAGAGTTAAAGCTGCTTTAGAGTGAGTTAAAACACACTTAAGGCACAAAGAATGTCCCTTTTGATGTCGTCAGGGAAACTATGTGAACCAAACCGTCGATTAATTTTTTTTTTTAAAAAGTGCAAAATGTGTTACTTGGTGTTTTTATCGCCACCGTCTTGCTGGCAGATGCTGAAGTCGTATTACCTCTCGCTCGAAGAATCTGTCCTCAAAACTCTTAAACTCTGATCCTGGCTCGGGGTCTTCAAAAATCATTTTATATTCCTGCAGAAGATCGGGTTAACGTTAATCGCTTGACTTGAGTTCCTTGCTGTAACACAGCGGTGTCTCTCGTTAAAGGAGTCTTCAGAGATGACTCACTGTGTAGCAGCTGGACACGGCTTTGACCTGCTCGTGGTCCTCTGCCATGGCCAGGAGTCGCAGCCCATCAGGGTGAAGTTTACCACAAGCCGGGTACAGCGAGCTCCTGTCCGCCCCGCTGAGATCCGTCCCGAAGGAGTTCACCGTGATGATGAAGGCCCGCCTGTCCGCCTCGAACTGCAGACGTGCACGAAGCAAACAAAACAAATCTTCAACACTTTGTTAAACGAAGCCAGCCCACGTGATGGGAAATGTCACAGTACCTCCAGGATAGGACACATTACGTCCTCCGTGGGACCACCCATGCTCTTGCAGAAGGAGTGGAAAGACTCTAAATACGCCTTTGAATGAAACAGAAAAGACGAAAGTTTAAAGGTCCGAACAAATCTCATAAAACAACAAATAATGCTCAGATGACACTTGAAGCTGTAATAAACTTGACATGCTCTGGAGTTGCTCAGCAGGTCTGACAGTGCAGTAAACACCACTTTACAATATTTATGTGAACACATGCACTCAAACTCAGAGTCGTAAAAGGTGAGTCATGCATTGAATTGGGCACATAAACAAAGCAGATGCGAGCACATGACTGCTCACAGCGACAGTATCGGTGGGCTTCAACGCGTACGCATGAGGGGAAATATTTCTGTATTTTGTTCTTAGCGCTCCCGATGTAGGGCGTGTTTCTGTAAGCCAATCACAACTGTCTGAGGCAGCGTGAAGAAGCTTTCAACACGTCTCATGTGACTCCACCGTGTCAAACGCCGACTTGACTTTCAAGTGAAAGTCGCCAGTGCGTCATGAGGTGACGCGTTCTGACTCATAGATGCTGTTGTTCATGTGCACAAATCTGCTTTCTATGTAAGCCGGTTTTGAGACTGATCAAAAGACTAGTGTGTAGAATTTTAAAAGCATCCAGTGGTGAGATTGCAACCAACTAAACTCTCAGCTCTCTTTTCCAGTGTTTAGATTACAGGAGCAGTATTCCATTTCTGCTAACAGGTCTCACTGAAGTGGGCATACTGGACCTTTAGATGCAACATAGTCGTCTTATGTCTTCTCACCTTGTACAGCTTGTTTCTCAGGATCTCAGCTTCCATTTCATCCAGGTTGGACTCAGATACAGCATCCTGGAAGAACGGAGCTGTGACAGAAGAAAGAACAAAACAAAAAAAGCATGTTTTGGTGTTTTTTTCAGTATGGACGCTCATTTCTGCCAAAAAAGGGAAAAAAAACATGTTCAGTCAGTAAAAAACTCATTAAAGGTCTGAGGTTTGTCCTTCAAAGTGAGATTAATGAGGTATCGAGGTATTTTGAGCCTGAAGTGTCATGACGGTGGCTCTTTAACCTGCTACATCACCATGGCAACTGATGCTGCACAGCTGACCTGCTCCGGAGGAGACTTTTTGTTCAGGGTTTGGGTTTTAAATCAGCTGCGTCACCAACGCTTTTCAGTTCTCTCGGAGCGACGCAGACGCTTGGATGAGGGAACACGAGGAGGGACATAAAAAGAACAGGACGTGAGTTGCTGATGACACGATTCAGCAGCGACACAGCAGTGAAGCAGATCCTAGTGTTGCCCAACATCTCAATGCCGTATGAGGAAAACAACGCTTCAGCTGATCTAATATTCTTTTCACAGGTTGATTTGTAGCTGCAGTTGCACAATTAACCTCGAGGTAAGGATTAACATAGACAGAACAAGAAAACAGGTCATTAATGTGTTGCTTTTCTCTGTATGTTGTTTAGGCAAAACTTGTTGAGTCGAGTGTCAGTACTATTGCTGCAGTTGAAACCAGAAGTTTACATTCACTGTATAAAGACCTTTTTTTCTCACTATCTGACATGAAATCAGACTAAACTGTTCCTGTTTTAGATCAGTTAGGATTACCACAATTATTTCTACTTACGAAATGCCAGAATAATGAGAGAGAGAATTTTTACTACTTTCTTTAAAGTCAGAAGTTTACATCCACTAAGATGCCTTCAGACAATTTGGGAAAGCCCAGATGATGATGTCATGGCTTTGGAAGCTTCTGATAGGTTAACTGACAACATCTGGCACATCTGTGGATGTATTTTAAGGCACACCTCAAACACAGGGAAAATCTAAAGAATTCAGCCAAGATATCAGGAAGACAACTGTGGACCTCCACCAGTCTGGTCCATCCTTGGGTACAACTTCCAGATGTCTGAAGGTTCCACGTTCATCTGTTCAGACAGTTCTATCAAGTACAGCCACCATGGGAATGCCCAGCCATCATAGGCTCAGGAAGAAGACGGGTTCTGTGTCCAGAGATGAAGTGTTCTGGTTGAAATGTGCGAATCAACCCCAGAACAAAAGCTAAAGACCTTGTGAAGATGCTGCTGAAGCTGGTCAGAGAGTCATTATCCACAGTGGAACCAGTCCTGTACCGACATGGGCTGGAAGGCTGCTCAGAGAGGAAGAAGACATCACTCCAGAAGAAA